CCGTCTCATCTCAACTAATCTTCGTGATAATCAACAAGTTTCACAAAGAAAACTTTTAAAAAATATTTTTGTCCGTTCTCAATTTTTAAAATTAAAAGGGAGTATTGATTCTAATTATTTAAACATTAATTTCTTCTCTCATTAGACAAAGCTTTTAACGGTAAAATGGAGGATCGATTAAAATTACGATATAACAGTGTCTTTAAAAAGATTAAAAGTGATCCCTTGAATATATTTTTGGAATAGTTTATCTTCAATCTTGAAGAAAAATGTAAAATCACTGAAATTTTCCTGATTTCATGTATTCAGGCCAATCCATTCATGCATTTTATTAAATATTGAGATTTCTATTTACAAAAATATTCAAACACAAAGTAATTTGTGCTCTATGGCACTGTCTGTAAACAATGAAAAAGCATGCATGAAAAAATCTAAAAATTATTATCTCTATTGTCAAAAAACTGATGGGAGGGGCGGGGCAGGTCAGGTGGGGTATTAGGGGAGGGTGTCAGCCAAAATGAATTTATTCCATAAACCTCATATTTATGTCAAATAAGGCTTTAAATGTTATGTTCGACATGCTACTCTGACAAAATCAAGGTTTTGGCGAACGGTCGGCGCCCCTAAATCTTTTCTATATTGCTGTTTGAATCTATTTTTATATTTAGATTATCCCAAAACCCTTGTGCTTTCTTGTGCTTTTGCTGTAAAATAAATGTTTTTCTTCAGAAATAACTCCCTGTAACAAAGACTTCTTCAGACTGCACAGTGCTTTGACATTTATAAATGAAAACTCATAAGCTTTAATTAGAATTGAAACATCACATCACCGTTATATATCCTATTGTATGAACATATATATAACTACCATGGAAATTATTGATTAAATAGAACAATTAACATTCTTGGCACTTTTTCTCTTGACATTTGACAGGTTGTAGTTGTAAGATTGACACCATGTTGTATATCTGACATAATCCCCAGCTGTTCCATATTAAGATTTGGCGGATTTCTCCTTTTCCCAGGATTTCTGCAAATCTTAATGCACATTCGTAAACTTAACTGTTTTCTATACTTTTTCCTTAATTCTTGATAAACTTTCTCATTTTGTATTTTACAGCTTTAGATTTATTTCTCCGAGCTAATCTAGAACCAAATAACCTGCGGATGCCATCTTTATTTAGAATTTGTACAATAACATGTACAGATTACGAAACATCTTTTCAATACATTGTACACTGTACAGTTAGTTAGTGTATAGTATCAATACATTGTACAGTTTATCAATACAATGCACAGTTTACAGTGTTTACAGTACAGTGTACCGGTAGAAAACAGTGTATAAAGGTAGTGTAATCAGTGTAAAGTGTACTGAAGTTCAGTGTATCTATAAGTTTACAGTGATATGTACAATAACATGTACTGTGTACAGTGTTCAGAAGTTTATTGTATTAATATTATACTTCACAGTGTTATGTACAATAAAGTGTTAGAAAGTTTAGTGTATCTGAACAGCTTACAACAAAGTAAATAAGTACGGATTTAAAATGGCAGTGAATCATGTGTTAAATGATTAGCTGTGTATCTATACCATTCACAGGATTACCTACAGAGAATGAGACTTCAATGACGACCTACGACGTTTAAAGGTTGACATTGGATGTTTACTTTCAACATTGTATATAAATGGTATTTTAAACTAATGACAAAAGAAGAAACAAGCTTACAGCTGCAGGGAACCATTATTGTGACAAAAACGACAGTCTCGTGCTTTGTGGGTAACCCTGTATATATATTGTTAAAACCTAAATCACGTAGACAAGGTTTTGTCTCATACTTCTCAACCCACATACGTTCTGTTTTCTTTTCTTCTACATTCTTGCTGCACAGACAGTTTTTACTTCAAAACTAGCACGGTCCGTGTATAGTCAGTTTAATGTACACTGTAAAATATACAGTTTGTAAAAGTTTGCATTGTATGTACAGAAACAGATATTGTTTGTTTTTACTGTAAACTATACGCAATTTTAAAATCTGAATATTAGTACAATTTTAAAATCTGAATATTAGTGCAATTTTAAAATCTGAATATTAGTACAATTTTAAAATCTGAATATTAGTACAATTTTAAATCTGAATATTAGTACAATTTTAAAATCTGAAAGTGTACATGCGATGTATAAATATATTGTATCTATCTAATGTAACTTCGATTTATTACATATTTAATTATTCATTTTAAACGGAAATCAATTATGATGCTTCAGATCCATTAACTTTTTTTTTGACAATTTAACCACAGAAGTATCATTGATAAATATATGTAATCTCGGAGTTAATGAGCCGAGAATTTGTCTGGGATTTTAACTCTAATTTGGTTGCGACAGTTTTAGAGAAAAACCTTTGAAAAATTCTCATCTCCGGCAATCATAGGGGTATTTTATCATGACATGAGGGCGGGGGGGAGGGAGATGTCTAGGAGGAGAGTGATTTTACCCATGCAAAGTGGTGCCAGTGTTAATCTATTTAATCCTACCACCCATGACAACCCTCCTTACAAGAAGTTCTAAACTGTCCTGTTGTAATCCCCCCACCCCTCCCTTTCCCTGCTACCCCATCTCCCCTCCTCGCTAACCCTACTACCCTCCCCCCCTCTAGGTCGTGGTGTGATACCCTTTTATAAAGAATCCGCCAGTTCATCTTCCAACTCCTTCTACTCCACAATTCCGGGATCAATTCTAGGACAAATAACTATAGGTTATAGTGTTCCCTTCTAGGATTTAGTATTCCTGTTCTAGGACAACGAATTCTAGGCTTTAGTGTTCCTGTTCTAAGAAAAGTGATTAAGGTTCCCTTTCTAGGTTAGTGTTACTTTTCTAGGTTATGTTGTTCACTTTCTAGGTTTTAGTGTTTTCTGTCTAGGTTACAGTGTTTCCTATTTAGGATATGGTGTTACTGTTATAGGACAAGGGATTCTAGGTTACAGTGTTTCCTTTCTAGGATATAGTGTTCCCTTTCTAAGTAAAGTGTTCCTGTTCTAGGACAAGTCATTCTAGGCTATGGTGTTTCCTGTCTAGGATATAGTGTTCCTGTTCCAGGATAAGCCATTCTAGGTTATGGTGTTCCCTTGTAGGATGTATTGTTAACTTCTAGGATAAAGTGTTCCCTGTCTAGGAAATAGTGTTCCTTTGTTAGAATATAGTGTTTCTTTGCTAGAATATAGTGTTCCTTTGCTAGAATATAGTGTTCCTGTTAAAGGATTAACTGATCCTGACCTTACTGTTCTGCATAAACTGTCCTTGTTCTAGGACATAGTTTTCCTGTTCTAGAATATAGTGTTCCTTTTGTAGTTCTCTTGTTCTAGGATACAGAGTTCCTTTTCTTGGATATAGTGTTTCTTTTCTTGGATATAGTGTTTCTTTTCTTGGATATAGTGTTTCTTTTCTTGGATATAGTGTTTCTTTTCTAGGATATAGTGTTTCTTTTCTAGGATATAGTGTTCCTTTTAAGATATATTGTTCCTGTTATAGGATATCATGTTCCTGTTATAGGATATAATGTTCCTGTTCTTGGATAGTTGTCCCTGTTTTAAGTTATAGTGTTCCTGTTCTGGGATATAGTGCTACTTTTCCAGGAATTGATGTTCCTGTTCAAGAATATAGTGTTCCTGTTCTAAGATATAGTGTTCCTGTTTCAGGATATAGTCTTCCTCGTTTCAGGATATAGTGTTCCTGTTCTAGAATAAAGTGGTCCTGTTTTAACTGAATGCGTTTCTGATCTAGATTATCTTCTTATCCTTAAAACTTATAATATTAATAATAATGCCGTGGGAATTTGGGAAATATGGTGTGGAGCTAATTTAAAACTAATGTTTATAAAACTTACAGATTTATATTAAATGTCGTCGTCGTCTTTACTATTTTTTATATTTATTTCATAATTTAACTATTTCCCTTCAAAAAGGCGTTCAGGGGCGTATTTAGAAATTTGCCAGAAGGGCATGGGGGGGGGGGCTTTAAAGCCCACACTCCTCTGAATGCCTTATGAATCAAACCTGTATAAAACTAGTATAAAATGATTTTAGATTTGTAATCTTAATTCTTGAAATTATGAGTTGTCGATAAGATTACCAGAATAATGAGAAATTCATGGAAAAACATTTTCAGAAAAATTTATTTTTTGCCAAAAACACTTTTTTCAAGATTGTCTTGAAACTAAATCTGTTTATTTATTCATGAATAATCATTTGTAAACCTGGTCTGTATTGTATATCAATGCAGTCTGTGGTTTCTATTGTTAAAATATTGCATAATATAAACATAAGACTCAATTCTGGAAGAGGAATACCATGGACTGCCGCCGCCCGCTCCTCCCCTCTCATTCTATGCCATTGCTTCGACCCTCCCCCCCCCAAAAAAAAAAACTGCAGCAAACCAACACTGTAACCCCTGCTCTTAAATATATGTATCTATCCATATATATCTATCTATATATATCTACTATATATATATATAGTAGTGATCACTGTTTGTTTGTCTGTCTGTTTATTGCTTAACCTCTGGGTTAGATTTGGGATAAGCCAGATTTTTTGGAGAAAAATGTATATTTATAATTCTTAAAAAGAAAAATAATAACAACTAATTAATAATTAATTAATTTTTTTATTTTGAAACTTTTATTACTGAAAATGACGTTTGTTCACACACAAAAAAAGCTTAATTTGTGACAATTTCAGATTGTGAGTTTTTTTAAATGAACACAAACAAACAATCTCAAAAAAAATTGAGCAAGCTCGTTTGCCAGTGAAAACCCTGCGTATATGTTTTTTAAATCTTACTAATCATTTATTTAAATTTGGAGCAATTAGAATTCATTCAATTTTGTTTTATAATTTATTTTTATGCTTAACGGATTTTTAATACGAATACTTATCCAAATTTTTAGAATTAATATGTAAAAATGATTAATTTTACAAATTATTAATAATTCCTGTTTTTCAGAACCCTGTACATCTTCCGCATTCGGAGTTCCGGACACGTCTTCCTGGTTCGGAGTTCCAGAGAAGAAACAAAAATTTGAGGTAAATTATTAAATTATTTTTCAAATATTTTTTACAGGAAAATATAATTTTTGTAATTTTAGTATTTCATGAAGTAAAACATTTGGTTTGGGGTGAAAAAACTCATTCAAAATAAAATTTACAATGTAAACCTAATTTCAAAAAACCATACATTTACAAAGTGAAAAGTGTAAAAACTGTATAAACAATCTTTATATGAGCAAAACTGATGAAAATATCCTTGTTTTCCTATCTCGGAAAGTGTTTAATTCTGGAATTATTCCCCTTTCTCTGTTTTCTTCAACAGAGGACTGGGGAAAAAAATCAATCGTATAATAGAAAATAAGTGATAACTCCGTCATATTGGTTCGGTTTAAATTGTACTGTTTCCACATGTCACTTAAAATTACGTCTACAGTAACTGCAACTATGTTTCTATTAGGATTCCATCGACGGGTGCTTGATGTCGGTGACAATGAACTCCCACCCCCGCACCATCTCCCCACCCTCCCCCAGGTCCAACTCCTCCCCCCACTCCCTCACTGACTCCGCCCTGGGAGTCGAGGGGGACTTCTCCACATCTCCTGATCTTAGACAAGCAGATTTCAGGTCAGTGCATTATATTGTTTATTTGTGATTAAATGGTAGAATTGGTTAATTAAAGAATTAATAATAGTTGAATAGATGAATAGGTAAACAAAACAAACAACAACATTGATTAATTGATAAATTTATAAAGTGATAAATTGATAAATTGATAAATTGATAAATTGTTTTGAATAAGTGTACTGATATAAACATTAATAGATTTATCATTGAAATAGTGAATTGATTTCTAAAATAAATAACAAATAAAAAATTTTAATTTTATTTAAAAGGCGTTAAAACGGTGTACTAATGAATTATTAAAGTGATGAAACGTTAATGGCATCTTCTGAATAAATGTTAGATAATCTAATGAATCTTTTAATATTTTATGAATTGACTATTGATTGGTTGATTATAGCAATAAATCAATAAATTGATCTGATCAACAAATAAACATATTTAAACAGATTAACCAATTTTGTACTATTTCAGTGATGAAAGAGAAGAAATTTTAGAATGCTTTGGAGAAAAAGATCATGTGGATTTTGACAGGTATTTTATTTAATTGTTCAATGTCCTGTTCACTGTACATGTATACTGTACACTGTACACTGTACACTGTACACTGTACACTGTACACTGTACACTGTACACTGTACACTGTTCACTGTACACTGTACAGTTTACACTTCATACAGAGTCCAAAATTTAAGACAGAGTAACGTCAAGAAACCTGGTATCCGAACCCGGTTTTATAAATGGGTTAAGACAATTTTTTAGTTATACATTTTTTGGTCAGATTTATTATTTCATAAGATCAATCTTTTCATGTTCTAGTTCTTTAATTAATATCTACACAAACGTCCAATCTGAGCATTCACTTCTTGGATAAGTATCCATTCTCTTTCTGAGTCGAGATAAGAAAACAGACCTGTTAACAGACCTCCGCCCTTTTTGGCTAAACTGCCTCTCTCTTTATAGAAAAGAGTGTGATTCTTAAAGGTTGACAGATCTTCGTTTGCCCCTACTACCCGTAAATAAGTTTGCGATATGCTCATATCTTTTTTGTGCTCCTTAATAACCTCTTCTATCTGCATTGGTTTGGAATCCCGTATAAGTCTTTTACAGATGATTGACCGTCTGTGTTGGCCATCGATTCCTATCATCTTTCATGTAGTTGACGGCATCTTTCATGTAGTTGACGGCATCTTTCATGTAGTTGACGGCATCTTTCATGTAGTTGACGGCATCTTTGTGGTCCTTTTCGCAACCCATGATCTTGTCAATATCCTTTACGTGCATTTAATTCAGTTATAGGGGTACATTAGTTCTGAAATGAATTAGTATTTAAGTAAGTGCATGTGAGTACCCGAATTTGTTTTAAATTTTGATACAGAGTGTCCCACTAACATGGCAATTTTATGGTAAGTATGATATTGAATATACATTATACATGAAGTTCTTTAGTTGACAATGTTTTGAACTATGAAATGCATCAAGATCATGCTTAGTCGTCTTTAAATTGTTTTGTTTACTGGAACACTCTGTATTTATGTCCTATTGTTGTTGTTGTTGTAATATCTTAATCATGAGTTTTTTCATTAATGGTAAATTAGCTCATTACTGTTTTTAACATACTATCAATACAATATGATTAAATATCAAAATAAGTTTTGTTGTTGATTTTCTGTCTGTCATAACAAGAAAAATTATTTATGAAAGAAAGTAAAAAAAAACATAACAAGAAAGAAAAAACCATAAAAATATCTAAGGCGCAACTTCTTGGACTGTTTCTTTGTTTTTTTTGTTAAACTGTTTGTCTAAAATGTTGTAATTGCCTGCTCATGAGATTTAACATGATAAAACTATTCAAGATTTTATCTTAAGTTAATTATTTCCTATTTTATTATTTTTATTTTTCATGAGTGGGCAAATTTTTAATGTTGTTTAACCCTGTACCTTTGTCCAGTGATGTTACAGACAGTTCTTTTGTTCGGGGGTTCTTGAACCCCTCTCGGGGTGTGCAGGAGGGCGGAACCCCCCTGGGGGATATTCCCCGAAATACCTGGCTACGTACCTCGTTGCGTAGATCTTCACCTAACACGGAGAACCTTGTCCCGCCCCGTCGCTGGGCATCTTTTCGGTGAGTAGAATTTAAAGAAAAGGTGATGGATGTTAGTTTTGCATGTTTTATTAAACAAAATTTACAGGGTTAATAAGTTAAAAATGACGCTCAAGGTCAAATTAAGTTTTTTTGCCTTGGGCTTGAATATAGTCTTTCCATGGCTTATTTAATGATTAGAAAAAAAAGAAAATAAAAATATTATGATATATCAACTTTATACGAATGTATCGAATCGAATCGATGATTATATGTTTTAATTTCTGAATGATTTCTTTGGAATTTAATTGATTTTTTTTACGATCCGAGTGAAATATTGCAACTTTCTGAATTTGTATGAGTCTCCTTATAGACGCAATAGATAGAAGTAAGATTAGTAGCAATCACCATCGAATATATTTCGACGTAAGTCTATACCCCCTTTCATTTTTCTCAAACACTCCTTTAAATAAGATTAAAATTACTATGATAAAATTTAAACATTATAGAATTACAGTAAAAACATAGATTTTTTATTTTTTAAAACTGTGAGATTTGTGGCTTTTAATTTATCAATGTAAATTAATTTGAAGTCGGTTTGAAATGGTGGCATCATGCACAGTTAATATTGCAATTGACAATTAATAACGTATTTAACTTCTTATAAAATATAATGTTGGTGGGAACTGGACAACTGCTAGATATTGTAATTAAAAATTATCTTTGGTAAATCCTCCAACCTTGATACTGTACAGAAACTTGAAATTGATCTCTTATATATATTGACACACGATAGAGAGTTGGGACACGGGATAATTAGTGTTAAATTAATAGAAATACAATAAAATTTTAAAACAAAAAAAATCCGCAAGAGGGCTCTGTTCAGAGCCCTTGACTAATGTAAAATTATTGCCATCTAGCGGATATATTTTGCATTAACTCCTGCATTCCTCGGTTGAAAATAAAATTCGAACAGTTGATACTTGAGACCTTGGTGAATCAAGGTATGTTTTTATGAATACGTTTTGGAGTTCGGAACATATGCTTCGTTCTTCAGCTTTCAACTTAAACAACGGTACTTTTTTTAAAAGGAAACGTTTAACAACAAAAACAATTGTTGAAATATTTACAATTGATGTTTTTTGTTTGCCTTCAAATGATGTTTTCTGTTTTAGTTTTTCTGTTCATGAACATGATTATGTTTGGAAAATAAATAATAGAAATTCATGTTATAAATAGAATATAGAAATTAAAAAACTGTCTCCTCTGGAAAAAATGGAATTTTGAACTTTAACAAACCATGGATCGCCGTCAAATGATTTTTAAGGGGCAAAATTTTATATTAAATTAAAATTAAAAAGTCATGGTCGTTTCTTAAATATTTTTTTTTATTAAAATGAAATATTCCCACTGCATTTAAAAAACATCCCCCTCCCTTGTTACAAGTAAAGTGCAGTGTAAAGTTAACGCTTCAATAATTTGTTTCAAATAAAATGCATTTCTTGATAAAAAGTTTAAGCCAATACGAAACCTTTTGGAAAATAATTTTAAAAGGTATCCCTTGCTTCAGTAATTCACAATTTAAAGGTTAGGATCTGGGAACAAATGGAAATTATATTTGAAAAAAAGGAAAGTAGCTTTTTCAATTCATGCAAAAAAAAAGAGAAACTATTTGAAAATTTTAATTTTTTGGTTTGGATCTTTTTTCAAACCTTGTTTGAAAAAGATTGACATTAATTTATGTTGAAAGATTCTGAAAAAAAAACCTTATTTAAAAAACTATACATTAACTGTAGTAAAAAACACTTAACACAAACTTGAATTTTCTAATCGTGGTGTTGTATAAATCTTTAATTTTTTAAAATATGAATTCTGCTTGATCTAATAACCAAAGTATTAAATATTAAAGGTTTACACTTCTTGTGCATTTCGTGAGTTTGTAACCTTCGATCAAACTTTTAACAAAGGATTTGTCTAATTTAACATGTATATTAGATCTTATCGTATAATTGCTAAGAAATTTGATTTAACATGTATATTAGATCTATCGGATAATTGCTAAGAAATTTGATTTAACGTGTATATCTTATCGTATAATTGCTAAGAAATTTGATTTAACATGTATATTAGATCTTATCGTATAATTGCTAAGAAATTTGATTTAACATGTATATTAGATCTATCGGATAATTGCTAAGAAATTTGATTTAACGTGTATATTAGATCTAATCGTATAATTGCTAAGAAATTTGATTTAACATGTATATTAGATCTAATCGTATAATTGCTAAGAAATTTGATTTAACATGTATATTAGATCTAATCGGATAATTGCTAAGAAATTTGATTTAACATGTATATTAGATCTAATCGGATAATTGCTAAGAAATTTGATTTAACATGTATATTAGATCTTATCGTATAATTGCTATGAAATTTGATTTAACATGTATATTAGATCTAATCGGATAACTGCTAAGAAATTTGATTTAACATGTATATTAGATCTTATCGTATAATTGCTAAGAAATTTGATTTAACGTGTATATTAGATCTTATCGTATAATTGCTAAGAAATTTGATGGAGTTGGAATAAAAGAGTGGCCAGTTTAAGCCATCTGCAGCGAGTTAAAACTGCTCTATATTTCATAAAAAAAACTTTTTTAACAGATATTCTTTATCTCGGATCCCTGGTAGCAAACCACAATGTGAGATACATTTTACACTCTCCACTAAAACCCACTTTTCCTTCGGTCAGAGTATTGATATTTACTGTAGTACACACAGACAGCTTAGTTGATGGTGTTTAAAATGTTTAAATCATGTTGAACAAGATTGTTCATTTTTAGTTCATGATAGGAATCTCACGAGCTTTGCATCATGTTAAATGTTCGTGAAGCTAAATTTCTCTAATCTCATTATAGTGCTAACAAACTTACGTGTACCGTGTACCGTGTACCGTGTGCCGTGTGCCGTGTGCCGTGTGTCGTGTGCCGTGTACCGTGTACTATGTACCGGAACAATCACTGTACGTTAGTACAAATATGCCAGTACATGCCACGCATATTTATCTGCAATTTTCAATTAAAATTTGACCATTAATTTTTCACTTTTTTAGTATTTTTCGTTGGCGGTGGCCCTTAAAATTAAAAAGAATAGTAAACCAACTTTGCAAATTTTAAGATTGTTGAAATATAGAAATTGAAACGCGATTGAATTCAAATTGAAAATACCAAACGCAATAAGCCTTGGTTACTACTTCTTACTATAAAATGTTTACTTTAAATTTTGTACTGTGTACTGAAGGTTTTATATACTCTTGTTAGATATCACACATTATTGATAATTCATTTCTTAACACCACCTTCTTAAATTAATATTTTATCCTACTGGGCAGTTACACACAAGTAACATGAATATTGTAAACAACAAATGTCTAATATTTAATGATTAAATTTTACAAAGTACAATGGAACTTAGTGAAGCCCCAATTTCAAATATGAAGTTAATTTTGAGTTTCCTAACTTTCCTAAATTCCTTTCCTAAATTTCGGGTTTCCACCGGTTTTTCATTAAATAATTGTGATTTGAGAATACGTAAACATAGAATAATATTTTTTAAAAATCAAATTGCTCCCAAGATATTTAAAAAGCTATATTTAACAATATTTACTTTAAAAAAGAACTATTTTCATATTCAAATAGCCACATATTTTTTCAATTTTGTATATTGACCCTTTATTTGAACAGGTGCAGTATAACGCTAGGTATGATGTAATGATGTAAATAGTAAAGTTGGCAGTCAACAGTTAGTCATGACATGGTAGAATAAGTGATCAATATTAGAAAGAGTTCATATTTAATAAAGTGAAGAGGGGGGGGGGCACGATAGGGTAATTTAGGGGGTCAAGGGGTTACTGTTTTGTCACTATACTTCTCTTAAAATGCGTTTGCCTTGTGTTTCAGGGTGAGAATGGACAAAATAAATATATTCCGATAATCTATTCATTTAAAAACATTGTATGAATTGTAGCTTGTATTGATTCATAGTGATTTCAATTTATAAAAAACTTTTCCTGTTCATATATTTATCCTTGAATGGATCCTGTAATCCTGCAATATATATCTAGATGTCGTCTTTGTTACAGCGAGCTATTTCGGAAGAAAAACGTATATTTTATATTATAGCAAAAGCACAACAAAGCACAAGGGTTTCGGTATAATCTAAATATATAAATAGCTTCTAACAGTCATATAGAAAAGATTTAGGGGCGCCAGTAGCACGCTAATACCTTGATTTAGTCAGACTAGCTAGCGTGTTGAAAAATCCTATTTTAAGAGTTTTCAATGTAAAATCGGGTTTTGGGCCGAAATTCTTAACTAAAACTAAAATATAACATTAAAACAACTTAGAGACTTATTTCAAAAAAATCTTAAGCGGCCTTATTTGACATTACTAAGAGGTGTATGGAACAAATTCATTTTGGCTGACCCCCCTAATACCCCACTGTGGAGGGGGGGGGGGGGAGATTATAAAAAGTAAAATTAAAAAATGCGCATGAATCTAGCATTTTTGTAATATTGTACAAACAGCCAATGGTTTAAAGTTTATTGTAAGTTTCGTATTTCCCATTGAAAACAATTAATAATTTGAGATGATTTGATGATGATGGAGAACGGACAATCTTTTATTTTTCTCTCAAAAGCACAAACCATCATGGAAACATAGAAATATTTTCCTTTTGAAAAGGGGGGAAGGGGTTAAACTACATTTTACAGGCATTTAGCACCAAATTATATCTAATTCAAACCTAAAATTGTTTCTTCTTCCTTCTTCGTGGTTGTTGAAGGATAAAGCAAGACGGAAATAGTAAGATGAAGGAGTGGGGGTATTCGCCCCCCCCCCCCCCCCCTCCGACAGTCACTCCATGCCACATATATCAGTGCTCTATATAACCAATTAGTCACTATATAGTCAGTCTATTCGTTTTCATTTCTGACGCTCAATCAACATCATAAAATTCTTGGCTTGTAGCAGAATCA